CATACCATAATATAAATTTATTACATATATGAGCAACTATAATTTATGTCGTAAGTGCACGTGTAATATGTAGATATTACACATAATTACATCGACCATTTAAACATAAAGGATAAACCTTTGCGAATCAGATTAGGCATTGCAAAAATGATTAAAAAAAAAATTTAGTTACAAATTATTTATTAATAAGAAAATCATTGTTAAATGCATATAAGAAAATTATCAATTATTTATTATTCATATAAATTTATTAATAATGCTTTCAATGAATTTGGTTTATGTTCAATTTTTTATATACATTTACTTTATCACTTTCACTAAAAAAGGGATTATACAGTCTGTCAAGCCAGTTGTCATCAATTACGATTTCTCCACGTTCATGAAGAGCATAAATAATCAGTATTTCGAAATCGTTTACGTGTATAACATGAAATATTGTAACATACAAGGTTAGTTTATTCGATTTGTATGTAACGTCAGTTTAATAATTCAAATATCACTATACGTTTAAAATTATCTTTTATTAAATGTCCAAATCTAAATGTGTAAATTATATCTAATTTACACACAGCGTTTTGTCAAAAGGTAGTATATAATTCGAAGAGATAGAATAAATTTCTTTAATAGCATTAAAAATCGATTATACATTTTACGATTGTATTTATGAAATAATTAAAAAATATAAAAAATATTCATTGCAGGTTTTTATATTGTTACATTTTACCTTAATTTATCCAATGAATTGTAAATTTGTAAAAAATTTCTTTTTCTATATATAAATATGTAGTTATAATTAATATAAATGTAAATTTAATAAGAGTGCAAAATAATCGCCATTTGTAATAGCTTAAATGTATATATACATTGAACAAATATGTATGCACATATATTATATATACATATACACACGCGACAACCGCATATAATGTATGTAATATATATATGTTTCATTAAACTTCTTTTTCATACATTATAAAATTATTTCGCATAACCTAAAATATCTTACCTTTTTTTTAATCAACAAAAAAAGAGTACAAAAAACACATTTGAATTGAATACTGAGGAACTTTACCATAGATGACTAGCATTAATACAGGTGTGAAAAGTCTATCAGCAAAAACGAATTGAAATCATTCTAACTAAAGTATAAACGTACCTGATTTTGTATAACAATTCTTTCAAACCTGTATTACCTGTGATAACTAGTAATAATCACAATTAAGATTTCACACTCTCGATAAGTTTCACTTATTTTGTTGGTTAAGAACGTTCACTTGACACAACAGCTGACGGCTTTTGACTAGGAACTTATCTTGTACATAATTTAGATGAGGAACACAGTGAACTAAATGTAGAAATGTATATGCAGCGCCTCTATGTGAAAATATTTAACATAATACTGCTCAAATTAAAAATTTTGAATATTATTTATAAGTTTTTCAATTATTAATGTTATTAGAAACACAAGAAATACAATTTGTAAAATACAATAATAGATAGAAATTGAGATTAATTTTATTTTAGATTATGTTGCATTTGTGAAATACGAAAGTTTTTCACGAATATAATTCATGAATATTAATCATTCAATATAAAAAGTTGTTTTTCTGTATATTAGCAAATACATTTGCATTATTTATCTGTAATTTGCACTGACTTTATTTAAAAATTATATATTATGTATATAAAGAATTTTCACAATTATTTCAATTTCTTGTATTACAGATTAAATTTTTTTATGTTGAAGAAATATATTTTTATTTCATTTACAGAAACAATTATGAACAATTGTCATAGTCTAATACCAATAATGTGTACCTTTAAGAGGTATTTAAAAAATATCTTTATTTTTCATTGAAATTTAATTTTATTTACTTCTGTCCAAACTTTCAAAATTTGCAAATCTTACATAAACGAAATGATTACTTTTTATCTATAATTATTTCGTGTTCTAAATCAATGCAGAAATTCTTTTTCTTATGTATTTTTAATATTTTTTGTAATTATAAACAAAATTAATAATTAGACATTAGCATTTTCAAACTATAAATATTTCAAAAGCTTCGTAACAAAAATTAAGCGTAATAATAATCATTTAATAGATATGTTATGGAAATTAGGGATAGGGATGAAGATTGTAGTTTAAAACGACTGTTAAGATTAAAAAACGATTATCAATGTTTTGAAAAAATTGTGGTTCATCGTACTAATGACCGCTCTATGTACAGAAATGTTTTATTCTTAAATTATGCACAAATTGCAATCAATACAAATGTATCTGAAACAAGCAAGTTGGGGGATGTCTCAGTTTTTTTTTTTTTTTTTTTTTTTTTTTT